TTAGTGAGGTCGCTCACCCTCTCCACTCTGAACTAATGGCTGCGAAGTCTACCCGTATTATGCGCCGAAGCTTCCGTCAGGTCTTGTCGTACATCGGTATATCAGCACTCTGTACTCCCATTCTTAGCACGCTACGTCACGTGTGAAGAAGCGGAAATTGAGAAGTTGGAAGCCGACCTGTCTCCATAGTAGATGTGGATATCGTGTAAACCGTAACTTTGAGTATTCTATGGCATTTTACCTTATATTCGACCTTATCTTATCCCCTGCTGTCCATGAATGGAGCCAGTTTTTGCTGAAGATTTTGGATATTACCTTCAAAATAAAGCACCCTCTTTTTCTCTTGACTTCTCTGACTCTGCATCCAGCACCAATGCGTATGTAAAACCCAATGATAACAACTATCAAGGCAGTACGTTACTCAACAATGGATGCACGCAGTCAAGAGTCAGCCAAATTGCTTGACTAAACAAGGCGACAACACACGTTCGACAACACTGCCACCCAGGGTGAAACCAGTCTTGGGGGAGCGTGTATGGGTTAGTGGGAGAGGGGGCGTGGCTCTTCTTTTATATGATTTCAGGAGGCAGTTCATGTGGCATCAGGATTGGTCTGAAACGTCAGCGCGAAAGGGGGGATGAGGAGTTGGCGGCCACTAATTGCGAGCGTTATGAGGTCAGCGAGGTGGTGACAGCGAGGGTGAGGGGGAAGCCATATCAGGTGTCAGCAGCCGGAGTATGCAATTGGTCGGGGAAAGTGGTTGTTCAGGTGACCCTCGCCACAGCCACTGCTATATCACCACGTGAAGAGACAAATGGGCCAAGTGTGCTCAGGGCAGCTCGGGTTTTCCACTTTCCTGTGTCGTCTCTAGAAAAGGGGAACTGGTGTATTCAAGTGGCTCTGGTTTTGGCAATCGTGCACAATCGAGTAAAAGGGTCAGGGGGAGGACTGCCAGCATTCGAGGGATGAAGGGGACACGGACACGTGGCTCAAAGGAAGGGGGAACAGCTTTCGTAAGAGGGAAACGGAATTTTCACTAGAGGGTTGTGGAGAATTTCAAACTTTCGTATAAACCGAAAGGCAGGCATCCCAAGAAATGTAATTTCATGGA